TGAAGAGGGGCCGTCCGAGCCACCCGCAGCTCCGCCTCAGAGGAAAGGCCCCAACTCGGCCTTCGGCTTCTCGGAGAACGAGTTTCCATCCCAGCAGTCGCTTCCGCCCAGAGGCTGGAGCATGGAGGGCTTTATTGATTGACCTGGAAGACGGGCCTTGGGATCAGGACGCTTGAGACCGAGGGCCCCTCGGAAGCCTTGTGGGAGAGAGGACGGCACGCATTTAACCCCACGAGGCGGGCTGTTCTTGGGGTGCTGTTTATTAGCTCCTGTGGCCCAGTGTGGGCACATGTCCCATAGCAAACAAAAATAATAATAATAATAGAATTAAATAATTATTTTAAGAAATGCAGCGTGCGACTCAGGCTGGCTCAGACCCTCCCCACTGGGTGTCCCCTGGCTCACAGCCCCTTTTCTGCTGTTAATGGCTGCTTTCCAGCTAGAGGACAAAGTCGGGGTCTCAGGGATGCCGTGACCTATGACACAGGAAGCAGTTAGCATCTGGTCCTGTTCAGGAGAGTCGGCCAGCTCCAGCGTGGACCACCCGACAGCTGCTGGGGCAGCCCGTCCACCGCGTGTGCAGAAACAGAAGACGCATTCGGAAGGGGGACTGGCCGCTAAAGCCCGGCACCCAGTGCACACCCCCAGGGGCCGTGGTGCTGACGCTCTCCCACAATGCCTCGAAGGTGGGTGCCACTGCACCAGGCGGGGGGCAGCAGGTGAGGGCGGCATAGACCCCTGAGGGTGGGGAGTGCCTTAATGGAGACAGTTTTGCAGAGGACGGGCGTCCTTGCCGTTCTCCAGGACTGAAGACGATGCTTCTGAGCCCTCCTGTGGACCTCATTGCAGCGGGTCTCCGCAGCAATGGGGCGCACTGAGGTGAGGCTCCCGTCCTGGCTCGGAGGCCCTTAAACGCAGACCCTGTGACATCAATCAGGTGCAGGCGGCTTCTCTAGGTGACCCCGAGAAACACGGGGTGGGAGACTGGGGGGCAGAGGGCCTGTTAGTGGGAGCCAGGGTCCTCGGCCTTCCAAGCTCAGCCCATGAGGACCTCTCAGAGCCCACACAGAACACCGCGACATGTGGGAGTCGAGCGGCGCATCAGCTCCTGCTCATCACTGGCCGCAACCTGAGCCCGGGGTGGACGCTGGGACGGCCCCCAGAAGGCCGGAGGCCCCACACGTGCCGGTGCGGCGTTTCCCACGCTCTGGGTACCGCGGTTGGTACCTGCTGCTTCGCGCCATCCTCGTTCTGAGTTGGAGCCACAGCTGCGAGCGGGCTGGCAGCAGGTACGGGCCGCAGATCGTGTGGGCGAGAGGACTCCGGCTAGCCACAGGAAGCCAGCTTGAAAAAGAGCACTGCAGAAGGTAAGGAAGTGCCCAGGTAGTGACACCGGCTTCTTGAGAAGCTGCACCGGCCGACCCAGGCAGGCCTGAGCCTCGGAAGAGATGGCGAGGTAGCCGGCATAGCCTCGAGGGTAGGGCAGGCTCCTGAGTCCACACCGACATGCCTGGACAGAGGGAGGGGCCCAGCACTTCCGCCCTGCAGCACGTCCCAGCGAGCAGGAAGGCGGACTGGAAAATCGCCAATTGTCCAGAGCGATGCAGATGCAGGAGGCGGGACGAGTGGATGAAAGGCAGCTGCTGGAGTGAGTGCACAGGCCGGAAATACGCCCCCGGCTCGCAGAGGGGAAATGAACACCAGCTTCACCCGGGGGCGTGGGGAAGGCACCTCCTCGCTGTGGTCTGAATGTTCCTGTCTCTCCAAACTCCGTTGACATTCCTGCCCCCAAGGTGCTGATACTAGGATGTGGGGCCTGTGGGGGTGACTGGACTACAGGGATGGCGCCTCGTGGTGAGATTAGCGGTGGAAGCACCTTCTGGAACCTGGAACGGGCCCTCCCCACATCCACTCTGCTGGTGTCTTGCTCTCGGACTTCCAGGCTCCAGCGCAGTGAGCAGCTCTGTTGTTCAGAAGCCACCGAGTCCATGGCGTTTTGTCACAGCAGCCCAAAGGGACCAAGACACTCTTCGGTGAAGTAACCGGAGTTATCCCCCCAGCGATGGGACAAGCCGCCCCGGAATGCTTGTCCCAGAGTGCCCTGTTAGGGACGAGGTCACCCAGACACGTCCACGGAGAACATTCCATAGCAACCGGCCTACACACCTCAGAATGCTGTTTTCACGAAGCACATCGACGAGTACATTCCAGGTGGAGGAACCTTCCGTGAAGACCACAGTGCTCAGAGTCCACGCAGGCTTGCCTGTCCGTGAAGACCACAGTGCTCAGTCCACGCAGGTTTGCCTGTCCGTGAAGACCACAGTGCAGAGTCCACGCAGGCTTGCCTGTCCGAGATGTTCTTGCGAGGGCAAGCAAACCCGGATGATGTGTTTAGGGTCGGAGATGATGTTGTGTCAGTGGTGCCACCCGGACCTCGGCATTTGTACCGTGATAGGTAAGAGAATGTCCTTGGCTTTAGAAGATATACCTGGGACTGGCTCTATAGTCTGGTAGTTAAGGCAGCTGGATCCCACATGGCTAGGCATGCAGTTCGAATCCCAGACCTGGAGGCTTGAACAAAAATCCTGGTAGAGTGGAATGGAGAAGGGATTGTGGTGTGACCACACCCTGTTTGCAGGGTGCTGCCCCCACCCGCTCTGTTTCTCTCTCTCTCTCTGTCTCTCTCTCCCTCTCTGTCTCTCTCTCTCTCTGTCTTTTTCTGGTGAACACATTTGCTCTCTGGCAATTTTTTTAAAAAGAGGAAAATACACATGGAATTTATTAGCAGTGAAGTAAATGGGGCGGATGGAGTCCACACGGGGGAATACAAGAATTACGTGTCTTCATGCAACGTTTACATAAGCCTGAAATTACATGAAAAGAAGATGAGAATGAAGCAGAAGCAAAGCAGTGGTTTTGAGTGGAGAGGGCCAGGAGCCTTCCGGGCAGCTGGGCGTAGAAGGCCCCTGCAGACAACGAAGTCGGAGGAAGAAGGCGCTGGCCCATGGAGACGGCGGGATCAGAGCGCAGGCGCCCTCGGGAGCGGGCGTGTCAGAGAGTCCTGAAGCTGTGGCCCGACAGCAGGGGCATGGGGGTGACCAGGGCATCAGCGTGTTAGGTCTTTCAGACATGGAGGACCTAGGCTTCACTCCCAGGGACCTGGGGGCCACATCGCTGCTCCTTGACTGGTCAGAGAACCCATGGGGGTTGAGGCAAGTGAGACATCCCCTTCCAGCCAGGACTGGCCATGACTGAGCTACTTGGGGACAGTGGCCAGAGAGCGGAGTGGATGGTCTGGGGCCCAGAAGGCTCAAGCCCCACTGCCCTTCCATCTGAGCACCTGGGTAGCCGTGGGCTCGTCACTGCCTGGGGCGTGCCTGGCGAGAGCTCACGGCTCTGCGGGAAATGCTGAGGGTGGCAAGCGTGGCTCACACGGGACACACGGATGCAGGGCTGTGCCCGGGCCCGGGTGCCTCCCCCCCCCCCCCCCCCCTGGCGTGCGCCTCTGCCCCAGCCGGTCCGGGAGCTTCCCCTGTGAAGGGCAGGGTGCCAGCCAGTGCTGAGACTGGCAAGGATTCAGACAGTGCCGCCTGCGAGCCCCGGCCGCGGCTCTGAGAGCGACGTCACAGCGAGTGTTTAAGTGCCGATCCCATCTTTTGCTTTGTAAATAACTCAGTAAATGTTCACAGTGTCGCTTTTACAGAGGCTGTAACGAGGTCGTGGTCCCCCGTCACTCGGATATTAAACTCCTTAGTGCGCGCCAGGATGACCGTGCGACTCGGTGTGGAGCGAGCTGTGCCGGCTGAGCGCGGTTAGTTGCCAGGGTTCCACCGAGCCGATGAACGACCCTTTGTCACTGCCGGGGACTGGAATAGCAGCGGCCGTTTGTCCTTTCTCCTCTCCTCTGCCCGTTTGTCTGCCCCAGGAGCCCAGCTGGGTCAGCCATGGTCGCCTAGCGAGGCTTCCTGGGAAGGGCGGGAATGCAGGCCTGGGGGTTCGTTCTCGGGAGCTGCCTGCTTTCTAATTGGGCTCGGTGTTCCTGAGAGGCTCGTTCTGCCCGAGCGAGCAGGCCGGCCGCTGGAGCGCGTAATCTCACTGCAGCCGCCGCCGACGGCTCTGGAGCGGCCGTGAGGGGCTGGGCCCGGCTGCTCCCTGCTGGCAGCGAGGGGCACAGAGGGCGGGGGACCGCGGAGGTGGGCGCTGGGCACTGTCCCCTGGAATTCGTTGGGGCCGCGGGTCACCACCACCTCTCCGGGAGGCCCCCTCTGGGCTCTGCGGCCTGGGGTGCAGATGGGGAGATGGACTTCTCCCAGCACAGCCCCTCGTATCCCGTCGGCACTCGGTCGACACTGCCAACCCCCAGCGAGGCCTGGGGACACTGTGGACACCTTCCCATGCTGCTGGCCCACAGCCCGGACATGGACAGCATCAGACCAGCGGTGGTGAAAGCAGCCTCCTGGATCTTCCAGACACCTCGGCTCTGTGACCCCTCACCTTCCATGTCACTCTGCTCCAGAGCGTCTCGGGTCTGCAGTGGTCTGTGTCACCAGCTCTGTCACTGGGCCCCGGCCTGGAGATCGGGTTCACTGAGGGCATCGGGGCCTGTGTCCCCAGAGCAGCCCTGCGGAGGGTAGGGACAGGGGCAGGAGACATCCTGGTGGCAGGTCTTGGATCCAAACTCTTGTCCTTCCGTGACATGGGCTCCCTCCCCGCTTCTCTCATCCTGGCGAACCGTGCCCTGTCATTGTCATTCGCCTGGCTCGGGAAGTGACTCAGAAATGGTGGCAGGCAGACAGCGTGTGTCTATAAACACAGCAGCCATCTCGGAGTTCAGGAGCGTCTTTCTTTCTGTGAATCGATGTAATTTGAGACTGTGCCCGCAAGTCTGAATTCGGTCCTTGCGTTCCACGCCCGTGATCCGTGTCCCTGCCTCCCCGGGTAAATGATTGTCCAGTTTTTGCTGGGCTGGCGTTCCAGCCCCGGAGTGAAGCACGTGACTGGTTTGGCTGCCTGAGAGTCCCTGGAGAGACAAATCCCTCATTTCCCGATGGCCCGTCCTTGTTAGTAGCTAGGCCGGCCGGTGCGAGTCATGCAGCCGTGGCCCGGCCCGTGTGTCACGCGCAGACACAGAGGCGCTGCATCGGGACCCGGTCCCTCCCTCTCCCCACCCAGCGATCAGAACAAAAGAAAATCAAAGTGTTTGTGCATTTAAAGACACGCCTGGCCTGTCTGCAAACCCTCGCTGAGCAGCCGCTCCCCCGAGCCCACAGCCCCCTAACTCCAGGGACCCTCAGGGCTGACTCGAGCTCATGCAGTCAGCTCTCAGCAAAGCCGGACGGTCTCGGAACAGCCTCAGGCCTTGCTGAACCTTGGTTCCTCTGGGGAGCTCACGGGTCACCCTGGGAGGCTGCAGAGACCCCAGAGACCGGACATGACTGCCGAGGAACCCCCAGCCCCCCCCAGCTGGCACTGTGCTGTTTTTGCACAGGTGAGCAGAAGCCAAGCGTGTCTCCAGGTTGAGGCCCAGGCAAAGGCGGCTGCCCGGTGGTGGGCAATCCATTTATCAGATCCACTGCTTCTGTGTCTATGGTAAGCCCATGGTGTGCTGGCGGTCCCGGAGGGGAGGCCGAGCCAGAACCCCCAGCAGGAAGCAGCACCCACGGGGCAGCCGCCGCCAGTCCCCACCCTGCACATGCCCTCGGTCCGCCTCGCAGTGCATCTCACCAGGTTTCCATCTCCGCGTCAGCCTCAACTGCAGTCTTCACAGGGGTCTTGGTTTCGGGCTCATTTTTGAGCAGCTGGACGGCTGGGCTGCGGGGTCTGCTCCTGGCGCCCATCCCTCAGTCGTGCTCACTCTGTGTCTCAGCCACTCCCGTGGGCCCCATGGCCCTCTGCACGTCCTGCCCTGCAGCTGGCATCTTGGCACACGTGTCTGTCAACAGCGGCCACCTCGGGAGTGAGCACGTTAATGCCCGGGCAGTCCCCGCCTCCCGCAGTGGACCCCTGCAGGAAGCAGGCAGTCCACCGGAGGTGTCCGCAGACCGCTCCCCGTGGTTCCCGTCTTCCCGTGTGCTCCTCCCCGCCACACGTGTCTGGAGTGCCGGCCTCCTGTGCCGGGCCTTGCACGCGGCCACCACGCCCTCACCCTCTCAGCTGAGGCCTCAGACACGCCCTGCACGGTGGCGGCTACGACTTACCCGTCGGTGAGGGCACAGGTTCGGGCTCAGGTGGCCTCCAAGCCCTCTGGGAGTGCACGGAGAGGAGGCCGCCTGCCTGAGGCCCCTGCACCGTCGCTCCCTGGGGTACTTCCTGTAGCAAACGTCCTGGCGACAGCCTCGCGGTGGTTCCGGTGAGGGTGGGCGCTGTGGGCCGAAGCCTGCTTTGCATGTGTTCACAGCCATGGCTTTCACCCCAGCCAGCAATCGAGTAGACAAGCTGGAAACTGAGGGGCGGTCAAAGTGTGGTGTACACCCACCACCAGCCCGAGGGAGGCAGTCCTGGCTGCACTGCCCTGGTAACTGGGCGCCTGGGAAGACATACCCAGGTGACAGCGCGTGCCAGTGGGGCTCTGCAGCTACTGAAGGCGGGCTCAGTGTAAGGCACAGGGCCTGGGAGCTGGGGGAGTGGGACGACGACTTGGCCTTCTCCCATGGCCGCTCTGGCAAGGGACCCTGGGAAAGGACACGGGCTCCAGGGCTCCGACAGATCCAGAGGGCCCCTCTGCCGGTCCCGAGAGCCAGTCCCGAGGTCGGGTCCTGTGGGAGGGCCAGGGTCCCCTCCCCTCCTCCTCCTTTCACTTCCATCACTCCCTTGCCTCAGGGGACCCTCCAGCCCGGATGGACTGAGGAGGAGGGTTGTGGAGGTGACCTTCTGGTGGCATTGTGACATGACAAGAGCCATTGCCTGCTGTCTTCTGCAGTCAGCTGACCACCCTTAGCGTCATTAATTGACCACAAGGGTATGAATCGGGTTCCTAGGAAGGACACCCACAGCCAGCTCGCTGCGGGTCCTTTCAGAACCAGGAGGGTACCAGCCCATGGTTCCCAGTGACCTCCATGCTGGGTCAGGGCACGCTCACATCACAGGGAGGCCCTGTGGGGTCTGAGGCCGAAGCCGGCCCAGCCGGGGCTAGGGGTGCAGCTGGGGCTGATAACTGGCTACAGTACCCTCCCGTCACCACTCACGAGGACGTGCGGCCATCTCCCCTGCCGGCATGGTTCATGTTGCACCGGTTTTCCTGGGTCTGAATAGCTGTATTAGGAAAATTATTCCGACGGTCTCGTGGGGGTATACTTGTTCTTTTCTTATTTATGTTTTTTCATTGGTAAGTGGGGTGTGTTAGGTTCCCAGGGCAGCTATAATGAATTCCCCCAGACTGGGTTTCTTAAGGCGGTGGACCCTCCCACAGCTCTGGAGGCCAGACCTCAAAGTCAGGGCCTCAGGAAGGCGGCACTCCCTCAGGGCTGGGGGGGTTCTCCTTGTCCTTTGGGCTTCTGGTGGCTCCGGATGTCCCCTGGCTTGCGACTGCACCAATGTGACCTGCCTGTCTTTGTGGCCTCGTGTGCACACCTCTCTGCGGTGCGTGTCCTCTTAGGACGCTTGTCCCTGGGGTGGGAGCTCCCTGGGCACCTCAGGTGGCTCTCCTCACAGCACAACTGGACTCGCCCCTGCACGCCCCTCACTTCCAGATAGGAGCACTGCAGGGTCCAGGGCCCGATGGGGCCATCGATGCTCACACGTGGCTCTGGGGGAGGGCCACAGCTTTTTAAACCTTTTTTTTTTTTACGTAGCTACAGATTCGCAGGAAGTTGCAGTGACAGTAGAGCATCCTTCTGCCCAGCTCCGGGTGGGGCACGCTCACATCACAGGGAGGCCCTGTGGGGTCTGAGGCCGAAGCCGGCCCAGCCGGGGCTAGGGGTGCAGCTGGGGCTGATAACTGGCTACAGTACCCTCCCGTCCCCACTCACGAGGACGTGCGGCCATCTCCCCTGCCGGCATGGTTCATGTTGCACCGGTTTTCCTGGGTCTGAATAGCTGTATTAGGAAAATTATTCCGACGGTCTCGTGGGGGTTTACTTGTTCTTTTCTTATTTATGTTTTTTCATTGGTAAGTGGGGTGTGTTAGGTTCCCAGGGCAGCTATAATGAATTCCCCCAGACTGGGTTTCTTAAGGCGGTGGACCCTCCCACAGCTCTGGAGGCCAGACCTCAAAGTCAGGGCCTCAGGAAGGCGGCACTCCCTCAGGGCTGGGGGGGTTCTCCTTGTCCTTTGGGCTTCTGGTGGCTCCGGATGTCCCCTGGCTTGCGACTGCACCAATGTGACCTGCCTGTCTTTGTGGCCTCGTGTGCACACCTCTCTGCGGTGCGTGTCCTCTTAGGACGCTTGTCCCTGGGGTGGGAGCTCCCTGGGCACCTCAGGTGGCTCTCCTCACAGCACAACTGGACTCGCCCCTGCACGCCCCTCACTTCCAGATAGGAGCACTGCAGGGTCCAGGGCCCGATGGGGCCATCGATGCTCACACGTGGCTCTGGGGGAGGGCCACAGCTTTTTAAACCTTTTTTTTTTTTTACGTAGCTACAGATTCGCAGGAAGTTGCAGTGACAGTAGAGCATCCTTCTGCCCAGCTCCGGGTGGTCATGCCTCGCTAACCCGCTACGGCGTCATGCCAGGAAGCGGGCATTGGACTGCTGCAGATTTTAGTGTTTTTTCCACAAGAGCTCAATTTTAAGTCAGAGACGTGTATTAAACCCCAGCCTCCTTCCTAACTGTGTGACTCCAAGCAGCTTTTCAGCCGTCGCGAGCCTGGCTTTTGTTCTCCACCTGTGCAGAGGCAAGCATTCCTCAAAGGGTTACCAGAGGGCCGGCGAGACTGTACAGCTGGAGCACTCAGCTCGGCCTGCCTGGCACCTGCTGAGTGTTCTTTAGTAGACGGAAGCCAGAGATAGAAACGTGAGCTTCGAGACCTCGTTGGAAGGCTCAGAGACCCAGAGCACACTGCCTGCTGACCATGGCTCGTTGGGTCTCCGTAGGGTCATAGGGACTGTGCTTTGTCTCCAGGGAAAGCCGCAGCCTGGGCTGCCCGAATGACAGCCCACATGCAGAGCAGCCCAGTACTCCTTGCTGTAAACACCAGGCAGGACGGAGGAGCCAGAGCTACAACCTTTAGACCCACCAAAGTTCAGCCACCGTTTGGACCTGCCTAGGAAATCCTGAAGGTCATTAAGCAAATTCAGAACCTCCTCGAAAATCTGATGGCGCAACTGGGCAGACTCGGGCGTTGGCTGAAACCTTCTGCCCGCCGCAGGCTGCTGGTGCTGCTCCGCTCACAGTGTGAGTGCGGGAAAGGGACAGTGTGCTTTCAGAAGGCCTCCTCGAGTGCGCTGATCGGGTCAGGAGGGTCTCTAAGGAGCAGGGGAACGGGGCCAGGACGTCCTTCCAGCCTCCACCATTAGCAGTCCCCCTGTGCTTGAACCGTCTTGATTCAATCCCCGTTGCAAGTCTGAGCACTGAAGTGTCTACCTGAGGAACGTGAGACAAAGAGGAGAGTCCCTTCCGGTAGGTAGCATTACTTGGAGCGGGGACAGATCCGTCAGAGAAAATCAGACCGTAATTGGCCTTTGTTTAAAGCGCAGAGTTATGCCGATAAGGATCGTGTAGGTAGATTTGTTGCAGGCTTTTTTACTGTACAGACCAATTCGGTATTGTCCTGGGCCATCCCTTTGAATATTCAACAAAGGCAGCGGTGCACAGGGAGACATGGTAGTCAGAGCTTTATTTTTGCATAACTTATGCTCAGTGACAGCCACTGCCTGCCTCACTTCATCACACGTTTACGGGGAGGCTGCTCCATGCTTCAGATCTCATTAAGCTATTTATTCATCGTAATGAATGATTTTAATGTACTGCATTACGGCTGTGCCACACTGAGCTGTTGAGAAACTCCGTCTTACTGTGCACGTGTCAGCGCTCGCAGCTAAGTTAGTACCTTCATTGCTGCTTCGATGGTTGCGTGGATAGCCCCTACAGCCGGCTCGCACTTGTCTCCACTTCACCCTGTCCTGGGCCACCTCTTGACAGAGTCGTGATAATTGTGCTGAGTCCTCATCTGTGGGCCAGTTTCTTCCTGGGGGCGTGAACCGTCCTTCGGGGCTCCCGATGCTCGGATCGCACCTATCCGCAGCACCTCCCACAGACGACCACCACTCTGTCCACAGAGCCACTCCTCCGCTCCCTCGACCTGTGTCCCTCCCTGGATCCTTCAAGATGTTGTCTGGCACGTTGCAATGACAGGAAGATAATATCCTTCAGGAGCATGGAAGAGGTTCTAATAAAAGCCGTCATTCACAAATCCAGGCCCACTGTCACACGACTGCATTTTAAAGACCACGCGAACTGTTAAGTGGCTCAGTTTGGCAGCCCGTGTGGCTACTGCAACCTGGAGATTTTTAGCAGCATGAGAAGGGGGTGTGGGGCTAGGCACAGCATTGGCGAATGGAAGGGATGGGGCTCTGCGAGGACACGAGGCGGCGTGCCCCACTGCGTCCGAGTTACTTCTCCCACACCTGCTTAGGGAGTCATCGGAGCACCCCAGCAGAGGAGGCGGGCACACCCTCGTGGGTGAGAGCACCCGCGTGTCACCCTTGGCCTGCTCCCGGCCACCGGCCAGGTGGGAGCGGAAGGGGGGAACGAGAAAGCCTGGCGCCTCGTGGTCTTGAACGAGGCTCGGGAGTCAGACTTCCCTCTTGCGTCTTCCCAAGAGGCTGCTGGGAGTTCTTCCCCCAAGGACCCCAGGGCTGAGATGAGCGCTGCTTGTTTGAATAGTTCATACAGCCAGGGCCCACCAGGACTCGGGCTTGAAACGCAAGGGAGAAAAGTAAGTTCTTTGGGAAAAAATAAACGCAGAACATCGTAGACGGCTACCTGGGGCTTAAGTCTGTGGGGAAAGAACGAGTCCACCGCAGCCAGTGGAATGGTTTCAGATAAACAAAACACCCCCTTAGCAAGGAGACTTCGTAGTTTTAGGAGAGACCCCGACTGACTGTAGCTAGGTGTTAAGGGAGCAGGTCCCAGATGGCAGGCCACAGTTCAAATCTCGGCCCCTCTGGCTCGAAAACCACACCAGGCACTTGCCCGTATGTGCCCCGAGTCCTGGCAGGATGGGAAGTTGGAGAAGGGCCTGCAGCGTGACGACACTCCACCTGCAGGGGACACGTTCTCCTTCTCGCCCTCTGTCTCTCGGACAAGTGCACGTACACTTTGGCAATTCAAAAGAAGGGGAGGAGGGACGAACGCAGGACAGAACTGCCACCCGCTCAGCCTCATGCCCGTCCCGGTCAGGAAGCGTCAGCGCTCAGGACGGCAGCAGCGCGGGGCTAGCTGCGGCCCCGCCCTGGAAGGCGCTCCTTCTGAGCCGCCCACCTGCCCTCACTTGGGAAGACAAGCTCTTTTCTCTCCTCCCGCAGTTTGACCTTTACGTAACCGAGTAACCAGACACCTGGTCAGATAATGTCTTTCATAGAACTGTGTTTGAGAGATCGCTGTTACAAGCAGGAAGGACTAATAGCGAGGATCATCTAGTGCATGTGACAACACGTTTCATTAACTCCAGGATTTCCTGTGCTATCAGAAACGAGACGTGGAGACAGATCTCACTTGGTGCTTATTAGCTATCGAGACGGCTACTGGGATTTTCAGACTCGGGCTCCAACTTCACAGTAGAGATGGGGGCCCAGAGGCGGTGGTCATCTTTCTCCAGGACACGAGCACAGGAGAGAAACACGCCAGC